CGTCGCTAGAGCCGGAACCTTCCCAATCGTGCGTCAAGATGAGCAACAGCGCGAAGAGCACTGCGCGCGGCAAAAACAGTGAGGCAGTCTGAGCAAAAATGTTGTCAGGCTTGATGTCGCAGTGAATCAGCCGTAGCTGCGAGTGGAGAAAGTGCAACGTCGACAGCAAATCGCTCGCCGCCCGGCTCAGAAGCGCGAAGGGCACGACTCGGCCGTCCGCTGCCAGCTCGAAGAGCGTCGGCCCCAAAAACTTCTGCGCTCCGCACAACACACTGACTCCGTCTTTCTGCAGCAAGTAAGTGTGGCTGTACGCTACGTCGCGCAGCAACTCGGCCCCGCGCACTAATGTGCTCAGTTTCGGGCGCGTTTCTTTGCACAGCGTCGAGAATAAGTGTCCGACATTCAAGTCAAACACGTTGAACTCATCCCGCGCAACGCAGCCCGTCGCGAGTTTCAGCACGGCAAGCTGCGGCGGGCGCTGCGCCCAGTCGCTCGCAAGCCACACATCCCAGTAGCGGCCGCTTGCGAGTCGCGCGTGAACGACGAAGTTTTTCACGCGCTGGTTTTCCGCGAAAAGCGCGCGCGGCACCATTTTGGCGTGTCTCTGGCGCTGCGTCGCAGACCTAATTGGCCGGCGCCAGCGGCTATTTTTGAATGAAATAAATTTGCAATCTCGCTTCAGCTACCGGGCCGCGCTTATGATTGGCCACGACGTGCTGCAACGCGCTTGGACGAGCAAACCATGCGGTTTCTGAAGAATCCGTTTCGCAAATTTTTCGGCAACCCGGTAGAAGACGATAAGCAGGCGATCGACTCCGAATTCAGCAATGACCAGTTCTATGACGTCGCGATCGCCGAGCCGCAGAAGCGGCTGGACAAGCAGAACAAGACCTGGCAGGAGTACTTCGACCTGTGCGAGCCCGACATTTTGGGGCAGGACGAATTTTGGTCCGTTGTGAATCGCGAGCCGTTGGGCGCGCGCAGCGCGTTGTACGTCACGAACTCGGTACTGAAGTATTATCTGAGCTTCATGCCTTTTTGTCTGCAAAACTCGATGCTCTATCCGAACTTTTCGCCGAACAAAGCGTTGGTGTGGTCCTGCCACGCCATCGTGGCGCTTTGCGACGCGTCGGGCTTCACCGCGTGCACCGAGCGCTTTAGCCAAGTGCCGAACGGCGCTGAGCTACTGGGCCGGCTGATCAACGCATTTTTCGCTTCGATGCTGCTCATCATCGACTTGTGGGGCGGCGACGTGGTGCGGTTCGCCGGCGACGCTTTGACCATTGTGTGGGCGATCGACCCAAAGCGCAGCAATTTGCGCGCGAGCCGCTGCTACTCCAGTTTCTCGAAGGCGGCCGAACACGCGCTCAACTGCTGCCTGCAGTTGCACGAACTGCTGAGCGACTTCCCGACTTCTTTGCCCGACGTCTTCTTCCAACTGCACATCGGTCTGGCCTACGGCTCACTGGACCTCATTTCGATCGGCGGTACGAACAACCAGTTCGACTACTTTGTCGCGGGCGAAAGCGTGTCCCGCGCGTCGCTCGCCGAGCCGCTGGCGAAGGCAGACCAAACCGTCGTGACCAAGGACATCTACGAACGCTCGCGCAACGAATTTAGCTTCCGCGCCTACTCGCACGAAGCGCACGAACATGAGTACTTTCTGCTGCAGCGCTGCCGGCTGCGCCGTCCGCGGCTGCCGCGGCCGACGCAGCCGCTTCTTTTTCTAGAACACGCGCACTTGATTGAAGCGTACATTCCGCAACGCATCCGCACCATCGCGAAGGCGCGCATTCCGCTGTTTCTGAACGAGATCAGGCAAGTGACGACCGTCTTCATTGGTATTCAAAACCTCGAGCTTCGCAACGAACAGGAGATCGCCACTGTCAAGCAAATCATGCAGTGCTGTCAGATGCTCGCCGAGTTGCTCGAGGGGTACGTGAACAAAGTGTGCAAGGACGACAAAGGTTTGGTGTTTCTGGTTGCGTTCGGCATTTCGCCGATCGTGCACATCGACGACCCGTACCGTGCCGTAGTCTTTGCGCTGCGGCTGCGCTCGAAACTGCTTGCGCTCGGCGTGGACTCGACCATTGGCATCACCACGGGCAAAGTGTGGACGGGCTTCGTCGGCTGCTCGCTGCGCCGCGAATTCACGATCCTCGGGCATCTTGTCAACCTGTCGGCACGGCTCATGGGCATTGCGGCGCCCAACACGATCATTCTCGACGAAAGCACGTACCACCGCGTCCACCAGCTGGTCGACTGCAGCGCTGAGTCGCCCGTCACCGTCAAAGGCAGAACCGCGCCTGTTATGATCTTTCTCTGCAAGCGCCTGCGGCTCGCCGAGAAGCGCCGAACCGACGCGCAGGTGTTGCAATTGAACTTCTGGTCGGCGCTGGTCCGAATGCGCTGCACGCTGCTGCCGCAGTACCGCTTCCGTCCCTTCGTCATCGGCTACGACAAGCCGCTCACGCAAGCGTCGGACAAACGCGAAGAGTTTCCGTGGCACCGCTACGAGCCTTGGCTGCCTTCGCTCAAAGCGCCAATCGACCTCGGCGGCGTGTGCTTCATCTCCGGCGAAGCGCTGAACTCCGTGAACTGTCTCGCCGACGAGTTCGAGACACTGCTGCTCACGCGCGGCAGCAACGTGTTCTCCACGCAGACGCTGCCCGAGAACTTCAGCCTCCCGCTGCCGTGCGTGCCGAACTACGCCGTCAACGCGCTGGTTTTGAAAGTGCTCTACGCTTGGAAGGAGAAGCTCGGCACGGAGACTGCGCGCAACGACGCTGACTTTGGCACCAAGTCGCTGACTCGCCTCATTCGCTCGCTGATGCACCCCGTGTTCCACATCTTCCTCCCGCACATCATCAACCAGCTGCACGACGCGAGCGGCACAGTCGAGCGCGACGCTGCGGCCGTGACGCCGACGCTCGCTCGCGTGATCGCGCTAACCGCAAACGTGTCCTGCGAAGTCCTCGCCGCCGCGAAGAGTTCGATTTTGGAGCGCTACAGCGAGAGCGCAGATATGTCGGTCTGCTTCAAGATCCGTTCCACCACTTCACACCGGAGTTACATCGACAAACACACCATCGCCTTCCTCAACCGCTTCGGACGCTATGCGGCCGAGCGCCGCTTGCGGCGCACGCAGTCTATGACGCAGGCGCTGCGCGACTGGCGCTCGGGCCACTCCGCAAAGTGCGGCTTCTGCAAAGGCGAGCGCGAGACGCACCCGACGCCGTTTTGCCGGCCGCCGCTGGAGCCGCATCCGCACTACTTGCTCTTCAGCCTTGTTGCAGACGTCACCGTCGTCAAGAACTCAGAACTCAACCAACTACTCGACTACGCAATGAGCAACGCGCTGCACCTCAACTGCGACGCGATGGACCACGACGAGATCCGCTACACGCTGTCGCACTACTTCAGCATCGCGCCGGTCCAAATCCCCACCTCGTTTCTGCAGTACGTGGAAGCCGTGAGCGCCGGCTACGTGAACGTGATCATCGAGCTGATCCGCCACTTAATGCACATCTTTGCGATTCAGCGCCACACCACGAAGCCGCAGGCCAAACAGCTGCTCTCGACGGTGCACGAAAAAAAGCTGTACATCCGAAACTTGCACAAGGGCGTCCACGAAGTGCTCGAACAGATATTCAAGGCCAGGCTCTTTCCGGCTGCTGCAGACTTTCTGGTTTCGCAGCGCGTAGCGAACCGCACAGTTTACATCCACTCGTGCATGTACTCCAGCATTCGGCTGCTGCGCACGCCGCAGTACTCGCCGCTGCAGTTCTACACCGACGCGCCGCCCCCGGACGCGGCGCAAAGCTGGTGTCCCGGGCCGTTCGAGTACAGCACTTTCGAAGTGTCGCAGCAGCCGGCAGAGCACTTCTCGCTGGTCTACGCGCCCGGCACGTGCGCGAGGCGCGACTGCTTCACAATGACTTACCCCAAAATCCGCAAAGAGGAGGAAGTCTTTCGGCGCTTCGGCATCAACGATCTGCGCGAGGGCGAGACGTACGAAAGCGCGCTGCGCGCAAAAATCTTCAACTTGCCGGTGCAGTCCGGACTGATTTACAAGCTGATGAGCTTGTATGAGTGGCTCGACCCGTTGGCGCAGGTCTACTTGAAGTGTTGCAGCGTGCTCGAAAACGGCTTCAACATGTACATGCTCGCGTGTCTGATGCCGCTCCCGCTCCCGCTGCAAAAGCTCTACAGCATCACGCGCGAACTGATCCGGCTACGCTACTTGACCGAAATCTCGCCGACGTTCGCAGCGCACGCGCGGCCGCCCGCGGCGCTCGCCGCGCCGGCGCTGCAGCAGTGCAACGAGCGCGCCGCGAAACTGGTGCGCGAGATCCGCAGCTCGCGGCTCTACGCGATCACCGCCGACGGCGCACTCGCCAACTACAAGATCACCTGCGCCGTCTACCGCCAGCAGCTGCGTCGGCAAATGACGCAGTCCGAGTACCTGGAGCTCTCGGCAATGAAGCGTCGCGCCGAACGCATCGTAGAGTTGTTCGGCTTCTACACACTCGCGCTCAAGATCGTCAAGCGGCAGGAAGAATACGAGGCGCGCCGCAAAGATCTCTGGTAGCGAAATTTGCGGGGCTATTTAATTCTCTCTATAATTCGGCAACATGGCCAGTGAGAAGCAAGTCTTCGCACGTGCGCTGGAGCCAAACAATGCGTTAAACAGCCACGTCGCGACAGAGCGACTCGAGCAGCTAGACCCTCGCATCCGCCAGCAGCTGCTCTTTCTGGGCTTCACGAACCTGACGCTCATCCAGGCCCGCTGCTTCGAACGGCTCGTCGTGCAGAACGTGCGCTGCGCGTTCGTCATCGCAGAGACCGGCTCGGGCAAAACACTTGCGTACTTGCTGCCTGCAATGCAGCGCCTGCTAAGCGGCGAGGCTGAAAAGCGCAAAGTGCTGCGGCAGCGCGGCGTCCCGCTCGCTGCGCAGGCCTTCGTCCACTTTCGCGCACATGGCACGCGCACGCTGGTCATCGCGCCGTCTCGCGAACTGTGTTTGCAAATCGAAGGCATCGCGAAGAAGCTGTTGCAAACGACGCCGTGGGCAACAACTCTCGCGCTGCTCTCCGGCAACAAAAAGAAGTCGGAGAAAGCCAGCATCCGCAAGGGCGCGACAGTGCTGGTCGGCACGCCCGGGCGCTTGCAAGACCACCTCGATTCCACGTCTGCGTTGTTCGCGCCGTTTTTAGAGACAATCGTGCTCGACGAAATCGACCGCCTCTTTGACGACGGGTTTGAACTGAAGGTGGCGAAAATCATCGAGGCGTTCCGTGCACTGCAACGCACGCACTTCGCAAACCGCGTAGAGCTGCTCGCCGCTGCGCAAGAGCGCGCTACGCCGCGCGCTGTGCCGCCGCTCAACCCGACGCTCGCGCAGTTCGCGCCCGCCGCCGCCGCGGACGCCACGCCTGAGTCTGACGAAGACTTCGCAGAGACCGACGACATCACTGATCTTGCGCCACGCACAGCAGAAACTGCGCCTGCCGCCGACGCCGAGCTCGTTCGGCTCTCTGCAGAACTCGAGCGCGCTCCGTCCAGCTACACGTACGTGGTTTCCGCGACGGGCACGGAAGCAGTGCGCCGCAAAGCGGAGAAACTGCTAGGCGAGCCGCTCGAAGTAATCAGCGTCGCAGACGTTGCTGCGGCAAACGCTGAGCAGGCCGCTGTCGCAGCCGCACCGGCAGAGCCTGCGCGCGCGGATTCGTGGACGTTGCCGAAAGCGTTGAAGCAGAGCGTTGTGGTGCTGAAGAACGCAAAGCTGCGCTACCTGCTGGTGCTCGCGCTGCTGAAGGTGAACTCGCGCAAGCCGAACTCGCGCGCAGTCGTCTTCTGCAATGCGTGCGAGGTCGTCGAGTTCTTGTACCAGCTGTTCTTCGCGGTCACCTGGCCAGCGGCGCCGACTTCGCAGCCCCGCGCCGAGTCTCGCGCCGAGCCGCGCGCGCGCGCTGCGGCGCGTCGCGCGGAGGCGGCCGAGAACTTCGACGTAGAGGACGTCTTGTTCGACCAGGGCGACGCGGACAGCACCGAACAGCTCGACCAGCTGTTCACAACCGAGCGCGTCCTCGGCGGCACGAAGCTCTTTCGGCTCCACGCGCGCATGAACGCGACCGAGCGGAACGAAACCTACGCGCGCATCTGCGCGTGCAAAGGCAGCTACGTCGTGTTCGCGAGCGACACTGCCGCGCGCGGCATGGACTTCCCCGACGTCGGCCTAGTCGTGCAGACCGAACCGCCGGTGGACGTTGCAGACTACCTGCACCGCGTCGGCCGCACGGCGCGCTGCGGGAAGTCGGGAGTCGCCACACTCTTTCTAAGCAGCGCGGAACAGGGCTACGCGCAGTTCCTCTCGCGACAGCTGAAGGGCGCAAACATCGCCGTCCGCTCCGAGGATCAACTCGTCGGCTGCCTGCTCCCGAAGTCGGAGCGCAGCGTGCTGCCCGACCACCTGCGCGGATTGCGGCAAGACAGCGCTGCAGGATTCTTACTGTCGCGCATCTCGCTGTACGTCGGTCGCCAGAAACCGCTGCGTGAGCTCGGACGCGCTGCGTTCGCGGCGTACGTGAAAAGCTACCGCGCATACCACAAAGAGCTGCGCTGCTATTTCGACGCGACGGAGCTGCACCTCGGCAAGGTGGCCGGCTCGCTGTTTCTGCGCCAGTCGCCGAACGAACTGAAAATGCGAGACGAGCTCGAGTCTGCGTCCGCGCGCCCCCCGCGCACTTCCCGCGGTTCGGTCCGCGGCGCCAAGTCCGAAAAAGCCGAACCCGCAGCGCGCCGCCAACCCATCTTCCGCGGCGCCAACTCCAAAAAGACGCCGCTTGCCGCGCGAGCCACGCCTCGCAATGTGCTGCCGAAGCGTAAAAAAGAGAGCCAGACTGCACGAAGAACCAA